TAATATATATTTTATTTATTTGACAAATTATTATATATACATACACTGAATGGAGTTCTCAATGTACTAAATCGAATGACAAACATGCCAAAGTTACACAAACATATTGTATTATATTGTATTGTAGGTTATCAGTTCTTCACATTGTTTATCAAGTAGTAAACGGTTATTTGGATTAACACTTTTGTCTTGCAGATTTTCATTGGAATAGTAACAATCCAAACATCATCCTCCAACACCTCCATATTTCACATCGGTGCGTTCTGCTCGAATTGGATTATTCAACTCAACTAAAGCCGGTTTGCTGTTGCCGTTAAATAGAGAGAAAGAGAGATATATATTATCTCGTACTTTTATAAATTTCTGATAAAGACTTATACGTTAAGTTCAAACTGATTGCTAAAATTACACATTACACTTTACGCTAATCGCTGTAGTTATTTGTGTTGAAGTAAGGAGCCATTTATTGATAACAAACATACATACATATATATTTACTGTTCTTCATACATTACACATTTATCACATTAGCTTATAATCTGTTCGAAGTGATTAATTGATGCGCTCACAACAGTTTCTCGATAGTTGCCTGCTCATTGTACTTGCTGTAAGTTGTGAAGTCATCCATGTTCAATTTGTACTCCCTCAGGTTGCCATCGGACCAAAGATCAAACTCGCGTATCACGTCCGCTGTCATTTCATCCTTGTGGCTGCCCACCACGCCCCGCCGCACAAACCTGTGTGGAGCAACGCTATTTAGCCTTATGTAAGCAGATCTAAACAGAGATCAGTGCAAGACTGGCTCACCTGAACTCCTCCACTTCGCGGCCAGCTGCTGCTTTCATGCTCTCGAATTCCTTGGCGTGGTTGCAGGCGGGATTGTCGCGCATGCTCTCGAAGGAGAGGTGCTGCTTCATCTGCTGCACCTGCTCAACGCTCACTGGGCGCTGCAGGAATCGGGCCACATCCTTGATTACCTGATCGAGCTGGGTCTTCATGCGCTCGTAGCTGGTGAAGAAGATGTACGGCTCGTGGCGCAACTGCCAGAAGTCGAGCACGTGCGGCCAGCAGGGCGTGAAGTTCACATAGCCATCGATGAAGGAGTGCATGAAATCGTCCTTGGTGCCCTGATAGCCGACCATGCCACGCCAGTGATGGAAGTACGAGACGGCTGCGTCTTTGGGATTCCGATAGACGTAGATGATCTTCGGCTTCTTGGTCCAGACCTGGCGAGGCAGCAGCCAGGCGGGCAGATGGGATTTGATGAGGCGTGGCGAGCTTAGCGCATTGGCTGCCTCGATGGTATCATGGGGCACGTTCGGCACAACGCCATTGAATCTATATTGACCAGAGGCTTAGCGAGCTTCTCATTAGTCGAGTGATCAACTTACTCCAAAAATGGGGAGCGTATGGTCAGGTCCACGGACTTGGCCGTCTCAAAGTCGCACTGATTGAGCACCAGCCAAGCCAGCTCCTGCATCCAGGTGGTGCCGCACTTGGGCAGCGTGACGATCCACACATCATCCTCACGCACCTCGAAGTCGTGCACGCGATCCAGCACGGGCTGGAAGGTGTCGGCCAGACGGCAGAAGCGCTGCTCCCAGTTGCCCACCACGGGCACGTTCGGCTCACGGGTGGCATAGATCGAGGAGTAGCCGCCGCTGATGGCCAGCTTGTCGATCTGCTCGAAGGGCACGCTTCGCGCAAAGAAACTCGACTCGGGCATAACGGCACTATGTTTGACTGATAAATCACGAATTTTCCAAATTGCTTAAAGACGCGCCCAACCGATCGCCTTCACAGTTTCCGCTGCATTAAATGCGACTGCCATCTCGTCGGGAATATCGAGGCAGAATTTCTCGCCCTACGCTGAGTGCCAGAGATGCGCACGTGACGTGATGTGAAGAGCAGTGATGAGTGATGTGACTTGATGACTCAGCTCAGTTCATATAGATTTACTCTTTTGGCAATCAGCTACCTTCACAGTCACAGTCAGCACAAGGCCTGGCTAGCATCACTATCATCATTAGAACTGTCTATATAATGATCATAAATATATTCATACAAGCCATAACATTAATCACATTAATCAATAATGAACGTGAAGCGCGCGCGCAGCCCTTGCCTGAGCCGCATCACTAATGGAGCCGCAATCATCGCATACACACATCTATAAGTGTATGCGTGTTATATAACATGCAGCAGACTCTCGTTTTTTTTTTTTTTTTTTTGTGATCTTCGGTTCGATTTTCGAAATACATGAAATGATCGGGTGCTGTAAGACTTTCTTTATGGAGGGCTTATGTTATGGGACCATGAAGCTCTTGTCGAAACCAGTCGCAAAAGAAAGTTTCGGAGTATTTCGGCTACCAATTCATTTTGTCAACAGTTTGTTTTGTTTGCTTGTTTACCTAGTGTCTTAGCAGGTGAAATTATGCGCACGTCTTCGGCCACTTAGCCATTTAGCCCAAAGAATCGAAAACAGGTCGTTTGAATGCGGATCAGAAGTACTGATTGACGCAGCTGTAAGCCAATTTGAAGAAGTGAGAGTGATCTAAAGAAGAATTTGAGGACTGGGAGATACTCTGGGAATGATACAAATTCTTTGTGGTGCGTTTAGCAGGGCATATTTTATTATTAAGTTATTTATAATTCCATTTGAAGACAGAAATGTGACCTATATAAAAACGGAGTTTCATTTGAAGCAGCATTGTATCAAAATGGGTTCATCTCTTTTCATAAGAATTCAGAAAACCTATTTAAGTTAAAAATAGAAAAATAAAATGCAATAAAAATATAAAAATATATGTAAATATTCAAAATATATTCAAAAATAAAAAGCTTTAGATTTCAGAGTCGTCTTGAATGTATTCCTATAGATAGAACAGCATACGAACAATCAATTAGGTCTATATCAGCTCAACCCATTATGATAATTAAATAATATATATACTCTATATCCTGTCCCACGCCTACTTCCTTTTTCCATGCGGTTGCACAAGTCCATCATACCCCTCCAAACTACATATATTCATAGCATTCCGGGCGTAATAACAAATGACAGCAAATCGATATATGAATATTATGAATATTCTCGCTCTCTACATTGAAAACTCAAACTTATTTGCATGCTCGACCTTGCCAAAGGCCCAAATGTAAATTAAACTTATTTTTAACTTCTGTTTTTACCTCTTTTTTTGTTTGCCATAATTTGAAAATCGAAGGTCAGTTGATTTTTGTTTTCACTTTGAATTTGTATTTATGTATTTGCGTTTTTTTATTCGCGTTTTGTTTTGTTTTTACAATAAATTTGACTAAATCTTAACATTTATAATCCTTAACCTGCAAGGAGCAAACAGATGTAGTAACAAATATATGTATGTCAGTATGTATGTAATTGTATAAAGATTCTGCATGTTGTTGGGGTAAACAAACAGGATCGAAGAATTGTTTAGTAATATGTAGAAATTTGCATGCATTTGTTTAAAGAGCTCGTATTTAAAAATAATTGTTTCTTTTTCGCTTTGATTTTTTTGATGTTGTTGTTGTAAATACTTATTAAGAAGTGTGCGTGCCTGCTAACATCGAAAAGCACGCACACACTTGCACACATACACACACACATATTAACAACAATAAATACATATGTATGCATGTAACTCGTATATATATATATTTTTTTCTTCTTTTTTTTTTTTTGTATTTGCATTCAATTAAAACGGAGTGCGTGGGTGTGTGTATGCATGTATTTGTTTTTTTATGAGTGTGTGCAATTCGGATTGGGCTTGGGAAACTGAAGATCGCTCGATCGATCCGGTTTCTTGTCTGTATAAACTGTATCAAAAATGTAATCGTGAAATAAATGTCTATAACAGATACAAATAACAGTGTGACTGGATGACATACCCACACACGCATACACACACACACGCACGCATTCGCATACATACATACATATATAATAATATATAAATATATCCTTTGAATATGCTTATCCTTCGTAAAAGTTGTATAAATTGTATATATGTATATATATSTACGAATATATACTTATTATTTTGCATTTGCTTTGATTCATAGGTATGTAAACATCTATGTATATATATAACATGTATATATATAATATTTTTGCTCTTTTATTTTGTTTTTGGTTTGTAATTTTTTTGTTTTTGTTTTTCAATTTTTTTTTTTTTCAACAAGAACGTATTATCGATTCGTATTAATTTACTTGTTATATATATATAATATGTAATTTGTTCAGTCAATTAGATAAAAAAGATTTCAAAAAGGTTTTCACTTATATAAATTTCATTTGCATTTCGCTTAATTCTGCAACACATCAACAGTATTCAATAATCATATATAATATTAGGTATTAGATAGTAGTAGGTAGTTGTAGTAGTAGTAGTAGTAGTTGTAGTAGTAGCAGTAGTAATAGTAGTTGTAGAAAGGGCCCCATAGAGTTACGCACGTTACATATGTGGATTCGAATTGTTGTTGTTGTTTTTTTTTGTTGTTTTTTTTTTTTTTGTTGCTTGTGCTAATCAAACTAGTCGAGTTGTACATTAGTAGAAATAGTTATAGTTGTAATTCTAGCCAATAGTTCGTTTGCTCTGCTCAATATATAAATTGTCCCTGCTAATCCATCCACGCATACACACCCAAACAATCACACACACACACTCACTCAATCACTCGCGCTCACACTCACACTCACTCACTCAACGCGAATCCTTTGTCATCTAGCTATGGCCTTTGCAAAATCTATCTTAATTTATAAGTAGTTGGACAGTTGTTGTATTTAACAGAGATTGTCTTCGTGTGTGAGGGCAGATGAAGGTGGGAGAGGAGAAACACAAACACGTACACGTACACGACTTATGTACTAGTATGTGTGCCATGTTGCTTATGCGGTGTGTGTGTGTTTCATTAATTTATTTTATTTTATAAATTTTAATTTATTTTTATTATTGATTNTTTTTTATTTATTTATTTTTTTTTATACCATTTTAGGTACTGTAGAGCGCACGCCACATTGCTCGCACCATGACAATATGTGACTATGTGTAACTATTTGTTGTTGTATTAGTATTAGTATTTATTTGTATATATTTTAACACGCAGACATACACACACACACACACGCACGCTCACACACACTTAATAGGGCACACATATATACACATATACATAAACAATTTTCTTTTGTTTTGTTTTTTTTTTTTTTCATTTTGTGATGTTACTTAAATATTAAATTTTGAGTCCAGCCCAATAATTTGTTTTTTTTTTTGTTTTTTTGTTTTTAGTTAGTTTTTTGTTTTCTTTGTTTTGTTTAGTTTTGCTCTTCAAACATTTGCGACAGTTTTTGTGTGCATGTGTGTGTCTGTGTGTGTGTGTGTGAGTGGGTGGGTTGGTGGTTGTGTGTGTGTGCGCGTCTTCTTCCTCCCATTCATGGAGACTCAGCTGTCACTGCGTATTAAGATTTCCGCCACGCACACAAACACAACCACACACCCACCCACCCACACACACACACACACACACATCCCATACAGAGCACAGTTTTGGAAGCGTTATTTAGTCGAGATATGTATGCATAGCAGCGACAACAACAAGTAGAACGAGACCTATGCCGAGAGACAGCGACGCAAGCCACGGCCCTGGGTCCGGATGCGCCTGCACTAGAGCATATCCTCCATCTCGTTCTCGCCAATTGTGGATGTGGCAGGCGCCTGGGCCGGCAGCGGCTTCAGTAGACCCGAGAATAATCTCCGGAAAGCCGTATGCTATTTGGAGCTAGACGACTTGTTGCCCACCGGCGGCTGCTTGGCCATAATATCGGCGAGTGTATTGATGCCCTGCTCGTCATATTTCTTCCACTGTGAGTAGTTGATCTGCATGCACGTGATCAGCTCGGGCATATCAATAAAACCTGCAATCAAATCGAACTTCAATTACTTCCATGCTCGATTCTCGCTTGATGGTTTCACGTACCGTCCCAGGCGTGCATCATATCCTGTATAATGTATTCGATAAAACCAATCTGGCTCTTTGGTATGCTGCAGGTGGCCCGATCGAACATGGGCATCACGATGGGCAGGTGCCGCTGCTTCTCCTCGTCCGTCTGCATAAAGTACTCCTCGGCAATGCGGCGCGCCCACTCGATGCAGTACTGCATGGGACGGGCCGGATTGCTCACATCGGCCACCTTGATGAGCATGCGGCGCATGAGTATGGATGTCTCCTCCTCGGATTGCACAAGCTGCACGGGATTAAATGGTGGTCTAAGTGGATATTCAATACCACCAGTAGCATGGCTGATTCAGCTTACCTCGCGCGGCTCCACCTCGCTGCCAAAGACGCTCACAAACTTGGCCAAGTGCTCAAAGTGACGCGTCATCTCCGTGGCCAGAATCATATCGATGATTGTGCTGCGCGCCGATTTGTACGTCTCCTTGTCCAGGTTTTTGAATATGTTGAACTTGTCATCACCTGCAGGAGTACCAGAAGTTAGCATAGGGATCTCAGCTTGATTCCGCTGCCTTCACTTACCCAGGGTCAGCTTGAAAGTGATGGCAGCGTGGTGGGACTCCAGCACCGTCAGGTCATTATACAATATGGCCAGTGGATTGTTCGAGTTGCACAGAAAGGCCGAGGAGCGTCCCGGATGATCGACGTCATGAGCAGCGGCTGCAATCAGGGCCGTTGCCTCGTCCATGCGATCCATGACCATATCCTTGCTGGCCAGCTGTGTAATGAAGGCGCCCGTTGCCTACCGATTTGGAAGAGAGTGTGATTTTATGGAACTATTGAGAGGAGAGGAGAGAGAGAGCGAGAGAGAGAGAGGGAGAGACGCACCTGCATAACATCCGCTGCATGTGTGCTATTGTGATATGTGTTGCTCTTGTGGTAGTGCGCCTCGATGACGGCCAGCCAAGCCTTGCAGACGTTCTCGTCGATGTTCAGCGTGGCGAAGACATCGAAGCGCCGGAACATCTCCATGCCCAAGTACAGCAGCGGATGGTAGTCGGTGATCTCTTCCAATTTGAAAATATCAAAGTCCCATTTCAGAGATTCTTCAAGTAGTTCCATGATGATGGGATTGGCCTGCTCGCAAAGAGAGAAAGAGAGAGAGATTATTAAATGTAAATCTTGGTAAAGCATGACCTATAGCGAGATCTCTACCTTCATCTTGGCGGGTACTATGGTGGCCGCGCGCGTCGAGTTGCCAGTGCGGATGATGGAGTCGTTCGAGCTGCGCCGCGACGAGTAGACACTGGGACCCTAACGGGGTAAATCATATATTAGCTTCGATTCTTAAAAGTTATACGATCTACTTACTGTCAGCAGGGCGCCAATGAGATCGGTGGCTATGGGATCGTCTGTGCGTAGCTCTTTCATTTGGGGACTGTAGAGTCCTTCGCGCTTGAGGAAGTCCAAGACTTTGTCTATGAGGCGTGCCTCGTCCGCTGAACAATTCTCCTGTACTTGTGATAGTAAATTGATTATCTAAAGTGCGTGTGCGTTGTTTTTGTTGTTGTTGTTGTTGTTGGTTTTGAACAGATTTGGTTGATTGATTTTTTTCATTTTTATTTTTTTTATTTTTTGATTGCAAGCGACGCGCAGCGAGCAGAAACGAACGAGCGAGCGAGCGAGCGAACGTGCGAGCGAATGGAACCAGTTCATATGTACAATAATGTTTATTGGATATTTTGTTTGTTTGTTTGTTTGTTCGAGTACACACAAAACATAAAAGTAAAAGAGAACATAACAAATATAAGAGATAAAAAGAGAATCAATGTAAAAACAATAGTTTTAGTTGTGCAATTTGGTTTGATATGTTTGTAGTCTGTTATTGATATTGAGAATTAGATTGAGATTGAGATCGAGATTGAGATCGAGATTGAGTTTGAGATTGAGATTGATATTGATTGGTTGACTCTGTATGGGATTAGTAGCGTTAAATCAATTAATTATCGAATATGTGCCAAAAACCGAGCCATTAGATACGGATGAATAATTAAAGCCATATACTGATATATGCGATGGCCAGACATCCCCAGCTGTTGGCTCCATTAGAGTTGTGCATCGAAGATTAACTAAATGGGTATTGCTCGAAACTCTGTTTTCTAGAACTGGAACTTAGATCTATATATTCTGCTATGAAACTGAATAAGCTGAACTTTATTGTTGTTCTATATACATAGCTATTCTATACAGCATTTAGTATTCTGCTAGGTGTATAAAAAAAGTTGCTAATTACTCCGAATTATTTTAAAGGGCTTTGAATCAACTTCCTACTTAGCGCTTCTATTTATAAATTAAAGCGACATTAGCTAAAGGTTTGGCACTACGCATTGATTTTCCCTTTATATTTGATGGTTTCATTGAAGTCAACGAATATTTAAGCTTAGAAGTGGAAGACCTATCAAAAGTAGTTCAAGTAGTATACTGGGGCGTATACGCAATGTGTTGCAAAACTGAAGGAAAGCAAATTATTGTTATACAAAATAAACTTAAAAATAAACTTGATTTGTTCAAATTTAAGCTTTCATTAAGCTGCAAATATGAATTGCTAGAACTCTAAGTAGTTCCACCTAAAATTGGTTTCTAAATAGAGAGGACTAACTGAAATTTCTATTTCTCTTTCTTATAACTTTTGTTAAAAATAAATACTCTTAAGCTCATTTGATGAATCCTATCAAATTTACATCTTTGATCTGTTCAGCACAACTCTAACGCATTCAAATGGATCGTTCATTGACTGTGTCAGTATCAGTGTGTGTGGTTGTGTGTGTGTGCTCTGTTGTGGATGTGGCGGCAGATGTTGTGGGGATTGGTAGCTGCTACTGATGCTACAGTGCTAGTACCTAACAATGAACACATGACACACACACACACACACACACACACACACTGACACAGAGGGAGAGAGAGAGAAACCACACACCACGGACGCGGACACGGACAATAGTTTGGTTTAGTATCGGCAACATGGGCACAAAAAGCATTCGTATGTTGTCTGATGAGTTGGATTGGACTGGGTTGGGCTGGATTGAATTGGATTGGATTGGATTGGATTGGATTGGACTGGACTGGGTTGGGCTGGAGCTGTCAACAGTTTAGTCAAAACCAATTGGGCGTACAAAATGGAGTCATACTTTGGTGATGGGCGCCTCCAGCGGCAGCGACGTCAGCTTGGCCAGGCTGGTGCGGCGCAGTCCGTCCGAGGCAATCGAGCGCACGTCGAAGCTGCAGCGGCGCACCGAGTGCAGCGAGCCCCGCGGCGCCTCCTTTGGCTGCGGCAGCGTTGCAATGAAGTCCATACCGCCGCCGGGTATATCGAAGTTGAAAATCAGATGCGTCGGTGCACTGGAAAGTGGGAAAAAAGGGGGCGAAAATCAATTCAATGCCATTGAGAGTGGAGAGGCTTGAGGCCTTTACTGCCACTTACCTGCCGATGCAGGCCACGGGCACGACACGCACGTGCATGGGAATGCTCTCCTGATTCTTGCGGCGCACCATTAGAATGCCATCGAACTCCTTGATGCTCTTGCCCTGCTCGCTGATGGTGGACAGGTCCGAGACGAAGATGTCGCCTAATGGCTTGCTAATTATTTCATCCTGTTTGACATTCAAATACAAATCGCATTAGAGTCTCTCTCTCTGTGCGTGTGTGTGTGTGTGCACCCTGGGCGCATTAGTGCATGATGCATGCATGAGTCACTCACCAGCCGCATGTTGAGCAGTCGCTCGGTGGCTCGGTTCGCATATTGTATGCGCAGCACGTCGTCCGTGATGAGCACCACCTCCTTCAGCCGGTGCAGGGCCGTATACAGTGCCTGTGTGTGCGTGAGAAGGGAAGAGAGGAGAGAGGGCGTGCTTCTGGTTAACATTTACAATTTGATTAGCGACGAGCGGCGACGCCAGTTTAATTGAATTGATGCATTCCCGGCCAGGACATTAACTCGATTGCAATGCTGCATTGCTGCATTGCTGAATTGCGTATGCCCTGTGACGCTTACCTGTTGAGTGGACATCACATTATGTGGCCGGATGATCGAGTGCAGTATCTGCTTCAGTTCGACGCTGCACAGGGTCAGGTTGGTCGTCTCGGCTATGCACTGCGAGAGCAATCAGGAGGTGAGCTGGTTAATTGCAGTCAATTGCGGATAACTGAACTGAAAACTTACTCTATTAACGCCAGCGTCCAATAGAGCAATTAGCGCATCATCCTTCTCAAAGAAACTGAAAGAGACATTTGGCTAAATGACACCAGGTGGACTGAGCGTTGCTACGTACCTCTTTTTGCAGACGGCAATTATTGTCGTTAAGTGATGTCCGTGTGTGTGGCGTATTGTTCTGGCGGTGGAGAATGAAGCGAAATATGTGGAAGAAGTTCGCATCAGTTAAAGTGCAAAGTTTCGGCAAGAGTTTGCCATCACGTATACGCAACGTACGCCGCACTCACCTTGCAATGTGCTCGGCGTCGAGACCCTTTGTGGAGCGCGCATCAATTATAATTAGGTGATAGCACTGCGCCGTGGCATAGGACTTGTGCAGCGTTTCGAGCGCCTCCTCCTTGGACTTGACCAGCGTTACGTCCAGCTGGTGGCGCTGGCAGGCCAAGGTGACCACCTCGCAGATGCTATCCGATTTGTGAAAAACTAAAAGCGCCTGCGGGACGGGAATTGACATTGCGATTGAGATTGAGATTGGGCATTAGTCAAATTGGACAGGAAGGACTGGCGAACGGTGGCACGTGTCAGCTTACCTTAAGTTGAGGATTCGGTGGTAGCACGGTTGGATATTTCAAGTCCATGAGATTTCGCTGCAACAGAAGTTAAGGCAGGTGAGTGAGAGAGTAAGAGCAAGAGCAAGAGCAAGAGCAAGGGCAAGAGGTGAGCAGGTGAAGCAACGTGTAAAATTTAATAAAAATCTACAGCGCTGGCTTTGCCATCAAAATAAGAGGGCTTAACTCGGCTTCTGTCTGTGTCGTGTCAGTTTACCAGTCCGTGTGAGGGAGTGTATATATGTGTGTGTGCGTGTGTGCGTTCGCATCTCTCGCACAATATGCGAAGCGTGTGTGTGTCGCTAAAATGATGATAAATTAAAATAAAATTGCTTGCGCCCGTCGGAAATTGTTGGGGGCGCCATTTGCCGTATTGGTGACTTGGCCTGCAGATTTATTATGCCCGTATGAATAAATGCGATATGTGAAAATCGGGATTTCATGTACACACACGCACACGCACACGCACACACACATGCACACCCGCTGTACGTGCCTTACCCTGTGTCAATTCAATAATGAAAACACAAGCTCACATCAAACGGAACCAAATTCAAAACTATTTATAACCGTCTTTGGGCACAAGACAACTGATAAACGTTGATTTCTAAATCGATATCCATAAACTGACTACGCGAAGACATGTTGAGCATGTTAGCTTACAGCCATATAAATACATATACACACATATATAAATATGTTCCACAGCCTCAACTTGTCCAAAAACGAATCTACTTTACAGCAGAGCCAGAAAAAAAGTATTTTATTTGATATTTTTGCAATTTACGTTCAAGATTAACTGCCAGCTCTCAGTGGCGCAACAACATTATTGATTCACGAGCTTTATTTTCCTTAGCTCAATCCAATTTATTTTTGATAATTTGTTATATTACTGAGCAGCAAGCAGGCAGCTAAGCCTGATGCGCCTTTGCTTTAAAATGAAGAAGTGCTGAAGCATCATTACTTTCCGAAGACTTGTCGGGCTATTTACTATATGTAAGGGTTTATATAGGCAAAGGTGTATTTGTGGAGTAAGCTAGCTCTAGAAAACAAGGCTAGAATTCCTTGTCTCTACCATGCCAGCAGATAAAATGCATATGAGCATGACGTCAAGCTCTCATATATTAAAGAATGAAATTAAGAGATGACCAAAAAATACCTCGAGAGGCTAGAGGTCTAGATAGCTCTGCTAGCACCCAGAGAATCTAGTGAACCTGATCGTAACTTTATATTGAAATACATCTATATACAAATATATATAAA